TGAGTGTGAGTTCATGATAAAATGGTTTCCTTGATATTCAAGTTAGAAAATCATTAGAGGAGATGTTCTGATCTGTCAAAATACATCATTTCATTCAAATATATTACAGAGTAAAAATCTGGAACATTTAGTAAAGAGTCCTTAAAATCTAGAGGATATGGGGGGGGGGGATAGAAGCAAGGATGTCTAAAATCAAAAGTGGTAAAAAAAGCTATAATTAATTGCTGATGGTAAAAATGATGAAAAATCTGATCTATAAAATGATTTTCCAAATATTTCATTTTAAATAAACTTTTAGATTAAAAGAAACCCTTTGAAATTGAAATTCATTTGATTTTATACTTATAAACTCTTTTATTCTATTAAGAGCTCATTGAATGAATAAAGGTAAAAACAACAAGTTTGATTGTTGTAACTGAAAAAAAAGACATTACAAGGTCACACGTCTCCATTTGATTGTTGAATTTGGATTGATTTCTTAAATAAAATTTCTTTTTATTGTTTTTTTTTTATTAAATGACAATGATATTCTATTATGTTTAATAAACACATCTAGTTAATAGGAATTAAACAATACATCAAAGTTTAAACAATAAGTTTGTTTTCTAGGATTATAAACGTCACAATGCAGGATTAAGGTTAACAAAAATTAGAGATCTTCTTAAGAAGGAAGTTCGAATAAATGTCATTGTTTATGTATGATATCACAACCAAGGGGGGGAGGGTTATCATTCACAGTAATTCAAAAACCGCAACATTTCATTCAAACAAAGTTAAAATCTTAAAACTGAAAATAAGTTCGTAAAAATGGGGAAATAATAACTGTTGAAAAGAATTTTTAAAAAAATCTGATTACCCTAAAAAACGTTTATGAAGCCACAAAAAGTTGTTACCAGTTTATTTCAAAACTTTCAGCTTAGTTTTTATTAATGGTCGTCCTTCATGAACAGTGAACAGTGTACACACTGTACATACAAATCACTAAATACAGGCTTTAACTATGCCAATTTTAAAGCACCTTGCTTTAACATTTTTTTAAATTTAATTTAAAAAAATGATTTTTTCGTGAATAGAGAGAGAGCAGGGTTCTACTTCTTATCACAAATCATTTATGGTAAGATTTACAGTTTTTAAAATCCTTCAACTTTTTATTAAATATTTCTTTCCTCTTAATTTTAATTAAAACATTGTCTAGTTTTAAGGTTGAACTTAAAATTTAATTTATTTTTTCATGGCGAAGCTATTTTTTTGGTGGGAGGGGGGGATATTAAATATTTTATATTATCTCCATGTTCAGCAATCTGTATATAGAATATAAACTCCCTGGTTTACCATCTCCATGTCCAGCAGTCTGTATATAGAATATAAACTCCCTGGTTTACCATCTCCATGTCCGGCAGTCTGTATTCAGAATATAAACTCCCTGGTTTACTTTTTCCATGTCCAGCAATCTGTATATAGAATATAAACTCCCTGGTTTACTATCTCCATGTCCAGAAGCCTGTATATAGAATATTAACTCCCTGGTTTACCATCTCTATGTCCGACAGTCTGTATATAGAACATAAACTCCCTGTTTTAATATCTCCATGTCCGGCAGTAGAATATAAACTCCCTGGTTTACTATCTCCATGTCCGGCAGTCTGTATATAGAACATAAACTCCCTGTTTTACTATCTCCATGTCCGCGGCAGTCTGTGTATAGAATATCCCTGTTTTACTATCTCCATGTCCGCGGCAGTCTGTGTAAAGCAATAAACTCCCTGTTTTACAATCTCCATGTCCAGCAGTCTGTATATAGAATATAAACTCTCGGTTTTACTATCTCCATGTCCAGCAGTTTGTATATAGAATATAAACTCTCAGTTTTGAAATCTCCATGTCCAGCAGTCGCGTGTATAGAATATAAACTCCCTGTTTTAAAATCTCCATGTCCAGAAGTCTGACCGGCAAAGCTAGAAACATTGAAACTGATAAACTTGTTTTTCTACCTCGAGCTTTACCTCTCAACAACAACAAATCCTTGGACCCTGTCCTGGATTGAAAATATATTAAGTTATAAACAACTTCATTAACTTTTTAAGTTACTTTTTACAATATAATTATTACCAAGGTAACTACTAAACATTTGTTCAACAAGAGAAGAAATTATGGAGATATCAACGTTTATCAATCTGAAAGGAATTGAGTCTTTGCCACAAACACAAATTTTCTAATCCCAATAACGTTGCAGCCTTTTATTTAATGTAAACCTTAGATATTTCAAACTTTGATTATTTGATCCAACATAAGTGAAAGTTTGAAATATTTAAGGTCTACAACGTTGGTTTGCAAAGATTAGAAAATCATGGTTTGTGGCAAAGACTCAATTCCTTTACAAGTTAGTTGAGAACTTGTATAGCAAAGTCAAGAAAGGAAATTTACAGAAGTTACAATATCTTTCCCGTAGTAGTTTCCCGTAGTAAATATATTTCCCGTAGTTTCTCAGAATAAAGGTTTAAGAACACCGTTGTTAATCTGGAATCCAACTCTTCACTTGATGTAGTTTTAACAGTTCCTTGTTTCCAAATTTTGCTTCAGATCAGAATTTTTTACTTTTACGCGCTCCTTCTATTCTATCTATGTAATCGTTAAACTTAGTTTTAACTTTTCAACTAGGAAAGAAAAAAGATCTAACTTTAAAGTTCAGGTCTCAAATAAAGCGTTTAGAACTGAACAGAGGTTTATTTAAATTAGTACCTGAAATATACATATAATCTTATAACTAAGCACAAGGAAAATACATGAATACGAGCCCTCCCGAGAAAAGGTACCAATCACTAAAAATGAGGATAAATCGGCAAAACTTTAAATAAGAACAAAGGAGCAGAAAATAAAGAATAACAAAAAAAACTTCAAACCTAACTTCTGCTCAGGGGCAATTTCTCACTCTAGACTGGGCTATAGGGGGATCAGGGGCCCCTTTAAATTGGACGCCAACACATTCTTTTCATTCAGTATAAACGAAAAAATACGAATCACTATGTTAAAACATAAATACGAATCATGAGGTTAGAATTGGGAGAACTGTAAGACAGTCACATATAAAAGTGCGACTATAAGAGCTAATTGAATGCTCTATAAAGATTAGCTTTTTAGCGTTTTATAATATTGGAATTCAGTTTAAGTCAATGTGTTGCCTTTTCTAAGTAAATATAATTTTCTTTACGCTTTACTATAAAATTCAGAAAATGAAACATTATTTTTACGACGTACTATATACTTTCCTGATTTGACTATTATTCCGTGACCATTATACGATAATATAAATTATACATTTTTAAGATTATGAATTATGAATACTACTTATATTATAATTCAGAAACATTCAGAAAATTGATAAAACGCCCAAATCTAATTATATTCTAGATTATTATTTGAAATATAATGACGTCAATTGGTCAACTCACAACTGCCGGGATACAGGATTATTGCATTCCAATTAGACTTTTTCCATGAACCCCCGTAAAGTGGAACATGGAGGAAAAGAGTGTAAAATCTTGATTAATATAAGATTTTCCTTAAATTTATTTTCCAGGGGGGGGGGGTTTTGGCCTCAAACCCTCCTCTAGAAACAATAGATTTCACTGATCCAAGGGGAGGCGGGCAGAGCCTGCCTCAATAGCCCCCCGTGTACGCCTCTAAGGGGGTAAGGGGGGGCGGCAAGTGTTCCAAGTGTTGAATTAAAACATAGATCTGGTCATTCTTGTTTTTTTTTCAATCGTGAATTGTCACTAGAATAAAAAATCTCGAAATCTGCATTCTCTCTTTGCGAAAATACAAAAAATAACGTTGCCTTTAATTAAAATCCCGAGTAATTGGTTTTCTTTTCTTTGTAAACCAAATAACAAATTATTTTTTCCATCTTATTCTAGTTATAAATTATATAGCCCGAGTAAGAATTGATTTCCAAACCAAATTATAATCTATTTGTGCGTTACTCATTAAAAGTGTGACGGAGTTTTTGTGTACTCTCTTAACTCATCCTTTGAGTCATGTCTCTCCTGTGACCTATCGCAGGCTAACTAACAGTTGACCAGTACACTCTGTTGATTAAATATAACACAACATAAAAATTTACTCATAGTCATTTGATGGTTGTTTAAGTCTAATTAAAACAGTATGATTTATTAATTATATGCATAGAGTCCCAAGGAAATGAAGGTAATCTCCTGTACACTTTCAGACTTTTAACCCCCCCCTTGACTGGTGTTTTATGAGTCTGTTTTTTTGAGGCATTTCCGTGGTGAGGCGTTTCCATAGCACCCCCTTAACCCTTGAAAAGCTTTTTTTCAAATGAATAAGAAGTAAGATCATATCATTTTCATACTGCAAAGTCAAAGTAATAAATAAATTGACTCTGTTAGTTAAGCAGTACTCCCTTGAAAGCTCAAATACACTTGTTAAAAAGGTTAGCCTTTATAGTGTGCATTGTCAATGTAATAAGAACAACCATATACCACTGTAAAACCAAACCAAACATTGTTTAAAAAATCATTAAAAACCCTCCGAAGAAAATTTTCCCCTGCGTCGCGCCTTATTGCACCCCCCTGGTCAAATCCTGGCTACGGGCCTGATTGATACGTTGTCTTACATCTTTAAAATCCCGCCCAATCGATGCAAATAATTCAGTTAAAAGTGGTTTCATACTGGTTCTCTAGTTCTAATACTAAACCCTCTCTCGCAGTTTTTACATCATATTGGACAGAAGGCCTTAAAGAAACGAAGAAACTGTTAACGGCCCTAACGGTTGCCTTGTGAGAAAATGGGCCCTGGACAATTTGATAAAAATAAGTTATACACCCCTTTTTTAATTTTACGCAAACTTATTCTAAAACCAAAATTAATAACTTTTTAAAGTAAGATTTTTAAAAATGTTAAAAAGTATTTCCAGAGCCCAATCCACTGCACAGGCGGTTTATATGTCTGTCTGTTCAACGTTTAGTTTCTACCTTGCTGCTCCGCGTACAGACCTCATACATACTTTACATATACGAACGTACACTGTATAAATACACCGTAAATAATACACCGTATTTATTGTTAATAAGCGTACAATTGTACGCTGGTTATTTGTGAAATTATTAAGTGATTGAAGTGTTATAAACGCACGTCTAGGTGAATTCAAACAACCAATTCATTAAATGTTGATATTCAATTCATTGATTCTTTGTTATTTATGTTTATGCATTTGCATTATTTATTTATATAAGATCAAACTGCCTTGAAATGTCTGAAAATGGAATTGTCAAAGTCGTGAGATTTTGTTCAGTGATAAATTAACGAAATAGGCGGAATTCTATAGAACAGAATTAGACGGTTGGTTCAACAGATTAAATATTCATCTTAAAACCTGTAAAATTTTACTGATAAAAATTAACTATTATTAATATTATTTCCCCCTTTTCCTTGTCCTCATTACTATCATCTTGTTCTTGTCCCCATTATCATCTTCTTGTCCTCATTATATCTTGCCCTCATCTTGTCCTCATTATCCCCTTCATCCAACCCTGTCCTCATTATCCTTTTCCCTTCTCCTTGTCCTAATTATCCCATTGCCTTCTCTCTATCCTCATTATACCCCTCCCTTCTACATGTCCTCATTATCCCCTTCATCTAACCCTGACCTCATCTTCCCGTTCATCTAACCCTGTCCTCATTATCTTTTTTCCTTCTCCCTGTCCTCATTATCCCATTGCCTTCTCTCTGTCCTCATTATCCTCTTCCCTTCTCCTTGTTCTTCCCATACCTTTTCATATTTCCCTCTTCTTCTAGACTCAAATTTTTCTTTTCACTGCTCTCATCTTTCTCCCAGTCTTCATAACCAACCCCTTCAACTTTCATTTTCCTGTTCATTCCCTTTACATTCCACCTTCTTTTATCATTTCCCGTTCTTCCTCATTTAATTCCCTTGACCTCCCCACCTTCTTTTATCATCCCCCATTCTTCCTCATTTAATTCCCTTCACCGCCCACCTTCTTTTATCATCCCCCATTCTTCTTCCCTTCTTTCCCAACGACTTCTCTTTTTTTGGCACAAAAAACTAAACTGCAATTTTTTTTACTTCAGAATTCAAATATTGAAATTGATAAAAGAAATAGTTTCTTGTTTTTCTACTTAGTTTAGTTGTTTGAAATGAAATTGACACAGTGGTTTAACCGGTTGGAAAGTGGGTGAAGTGTCCCCCACCGTACAGCGGGCCAATACGGGGGGTAATTGCTGGGACACACTGTAGTCACTAGATCTCCAATGCCGGATGTGATGGTAATTATATTTTTAAAATATATGATGTAAAGGTTTAAATACATTTGTATATACATATTTCAACAACAGGGTAAAATATTGACCCTTTATTTCATTATAAACTGGGGTGTATATTCTCCACTGAATAAATCTTCCCACCAATTGAAATAATTTGAGCAAAAACCACAAAATTATGTCATATATATTTATTCTCTTGTATTTGCATTATTAATTAATGCACATACAGCATCCATACTATTTCCGCTTTTATTTCAGCATTCAAAATAAAAAAATAACGGAAAATTGATTTGCAACATTAAAATCGAAATGCAATTATTAAGAAGAATATAAAAAAATGTACGTGAATAAATTGAAAAATTTTACTTATTCTGAAATATAATCTAGAAAATATGTTTTTCAGTTTTTATTTCAAACAATTTTCATCGTTAATCAGTTCCACGATTTATTTCTTTTTCGACATCTTTTAAAAAAAAATTATTACCAGATATTATTTTTTCTGTTTGTTATCTACAGATTTATTTTAGAATTTTAGTTTTTAATACTTTTCCTTTTTACTCGCTCCCCCCTCCTTTATTTACAATTTTTTAAAACATTTAACAATATTTTTTTATTCAGATTTCCTATGAAGTATGAATGGAATGTATTTTATTCCTGCCTCCTTCAGGAGGTTTTATTTCAAACATATTCAATGTTTTAATAAACAATCCTGGGGGTAATGTAAACAAACATCAATCTGCACACATACCCCACTTCATTTTTATAAACATATGTAGATAAGTGTACATACACTCTGTACATAAGTAATTTTTGGTTTCTAAAAAGTTAAAACAGAGCCATTTTACTTCTTGATCCTTGATCCTTGGGACCAAAATGGCACTTTTCAGAAAAAGAATGTATTTCTGAAAATAAAAAGTCAAGAAAAACTTTTAAAAACAATTTCAATTGTTCTTTTCCTACAACTTGCTTGATTTTAAGATTTTATTTTCGGTTTGAATACCATCCAAAATCACAGTTAAATTATCTGAACATGGGATTACATGTTCACATTTGATATTATGTTCACTTTTTTATTTTGTTTTTTTGAATACCCTAACGTGCACTGTACATTGCGCAGGTTAGATTTACACAGACTCACAATTAGGCACAAGAAAATGATAAAGATAAATACTATTTTGATTTTCCTGAAAAATTAAATTTTCTCATTTCTTGCCTTTTTCTAGATTCTCATTTACATTTTTCTCCCCTCTACTCACCCAATCCTCGTTTATACAAATAAACCCCCCTTCTGAGGTCCAAAAAATACAAATATATTTTTATAAAAATAAACATTTGTCACATGATATTTAGGGACCGTTTGTTTACTTACGTGTAGGCCCTCTTGTTTACTTCTCATTAAAAAGACTCGAAAATAGTTTTTAAAATAATTGAATAATGTTTTAAATGTTCCTAGAAGATGGTTTTAATTTAGTTTAAAGTTGATCAATTAAGCAAATTAGATAGAGAAGTTGGGCAACACATTTTAGCTTAGCAATTGCTTAAAAATAGGATTTCTGTAAATGTTCAAATATATTTGTGTAATTTTTTTTCTCATAAATTTTTTTATGGTTTTTCTAAAAACTAATAATTTTGATTATTTAATATACTTGCCAGAGGTATATATTTTTCAAAGAGTTTTGATGCCCTAGGGAAAAAAGAATCGGAAATTATATTCAATAAATGTGGAACTAACTTCTACTTTTTTTTACTCTACGAGGTTTGGTCCATCACCATCACTGAATTTCAAATCGGAAATTATACTCTTTCCTAAAAATTGTTTATTTTCCTCTTTCAGCAGTAAACCCTTCTGGCGCTCGGAGCAAACATACCTAGCATCTGGGGGACGAAAATATTTCCAAGTGGAGGGATGATTTATCAAGATAATATACATCCCTGATTTATTCATTTGAAATATTGAAATTGTAGAGAAAAAAGTTGGATAGTAGAACTAATCTAAATTATCCCTAGATCATAGAATTTATATATATAGAACTAACATCTATTTTTTTTACTCTACAAAGGTTTGTTCATCACCTTCACCGAATATTCTAAATTATCTCTAGATCCTAGAATATCTAGATCCTAGAATATCTAGATCCTAGAATACCTATAGATCCTAGAATATCTAGATCTTAGAATATCTATAGATCCTAAAATATCTAAAGATTCTAGAATTTAATTTCTCTAAATTCCAGAATATCTCAAGATCCTAGAATATCTCCAGATCTTAGAATATCTCTAGATTTTAGAATATCTCCAAATTCTAGAATATCTCCAGATTCTAGAATATCTCTAGATTCTAGAATATCACAAGATTTATAGAATATCTTCAGATTCTAAAATATCTCTAGATCCTAGAAAATCTCTATACCCTAGAATTTTTCTTGATCCTAAATTATCTCTAGATCCTTAAATGTTTATGAATTTGTGTGTATTTGTTGAGTCCCTTGTAATTTGATCCTAATTATCTCTGAGAGTCTGAACACTGGATTTACTTTGCGGAAACCAAGCCAAACCTTTGATAAATGTTTATAAACCTAAATATTTTCTGGTACTTCTGTATCCTGGTATCCTTGTATCCTGGTATCCCTGTATCCTGGTATCCCTGTATCCCTCCTGTATCCTGGTATCCCTGTATCCCTGTATCCTGGTATCCCTATATCCTGGTTTCCCTGTATCCTGGTATCCTTTTATCCTGGTATCCTTTTATCCTGGTATCCCTATATCCTGGTATCCCTATCCTGGTATCCCTGTATCCTGGTATCCCTGTATCCTGGTATACATGTATCCATGTTTCTTGGTATTATTATATTTTGCGATTAATGTATCCTTGCATCCTTGAATCTTTGTATAATGTATCCCTTTTCCTCTATCCCTGTGTTTTTAGTATTCTTATATTCCTCTACACTGTACAGCACACGCTTAGATCATTCAGTGTCATATTCCATCTCAATGATTCATAAGGAAAATATTCGAATGGATTTTTAGCTGTATAATAAACATTCTTGAATTTATTGCTTTTTTAAAGAAAGAATTTTTCTTCCAACGGTCTTTATGTTTAAAGAAAATGCCAACTGAGTTTGTTGTAGCTTTATTTTGAAATTCGACTACTTTCACAATTTTGCTTAAATCAGATGAACTACTGAAAATTTACCAGCGTACTGTTCTACACTGGTAGGATATTGTATTGTGTAGGATATTGTATTGTGTAGGATATTGTATTGTGTAGGGTATTGTATTGTGTAGGATATTGTATTGTGTAGGGTATTGTATTGTGTAGGATATTGTATTGTGTAGGATATTGTATTGTGTAGGATATAGTATTGTGTAGGGTATTGTATTGTGTAGGATATTGTATT